AGCAAGTATAAATAAAATAATAATTACTTAAACTATTTTGTTTTAAAATTGCCATTATCAGAATGCACTCTCTTTTTACATATTTTTATTTATTTAATTTTTATTTTGCGTTTTCTTCTTTGCATTTAATACTGCATTCCTTACCTTCAACGATTGCTCACTTCATTTCATTTATTTCTATAATTTTTTATTTTTTCTTTTGTTTTGCTTGTGATAAAAGGTATTTGCTTAACAACTTTTAATTTCTCAAAAAAAAATTTTTTTTTTTCATTTTTTATTATTATTATCGTTTTTCTTTCATTCTCTTTGCTTACTTACAATGTTAGTAGAATATTTTGGCTTTCACTTGCATTATTTTCATTTCTCCTTCAACTCTTTCGCTTTATGCGCTTATTTTTTACAGGACACAATCAATGCTACGCGTTCATTTTTGTTTGTGTGTTTTCACCACTTAACGAGTACAAAACTTTATTTCTCATATATCGGCTTTTTTAATTGGTTATATACTATATATGTATATGTATATGTATTGTGAACAGGAAGATATAGTTTTTTTTTTATAATTTTCATTTTCAATTTAAATTATTGATATTTTATATATATTTGTATATCGTGTGTAAACTTAAATAGTTAGTGATCTCTTACGCTTTACTGCTGTTTTAGCGCATTTTCTCTTTATATATATAATATATGTACTAAATGTACTAACAAATAATTTTATGATTTAACAGAACAAAAAAGTAGGTGAAACAAACATAGTTTTCGTTGTTCTAATTATGATATGAAATGACATTGCAAAGTTATGAGAATATACATATATAAGGAAAAGTGGTGGAGTTTTGTTGTTGCGTTGTTGGTAGAACTTTATTCGTGTTTTATTTTTCATATTTTTGTGTGGCAATTTGTTTAAGGACAGTTACAGCTGCTTGGTATTTTAAATTGTTATATTTTGTGGATTTTATTTGGGCCTATAACACAAGAAAAATTAAGTTTGGTTTCGGCTTAGAGCACAATTTTGTATGTTTTTTCTAGGATCTAGTGGGTGTGTGATTAAATTTTTAACAACGCATAGAGAGTGAGATTATAAAAAACTAGATTTCAATGCAAATTTTAAATCCTTTTAAAGACTGGTGTTTGAACATATTATGTTAATACGCATTGAAAGTGAGGTTAGGTTCTGGAAACCTTTTTTTTTTTAGCAAAATGTCTGACCAAATTATGTTAATACGCATTAAAATTGAGGTTATTTATGAAAAACTTGATTTTTTTTAGCAAAATGTTTGCCCAAATTAAGTTAATACGCATTAAAATTGAGGTTAGGTTATGAAAAACCTGTCTTTTTTCCAAAATGTGTGTGTGTTTTATATGCTTGACTATTTTTTGCCATATTGGCGGCTGTTTGCGCCTTTTAAGCACTTTTAGGGCTCTTTTATAAAACTCAGATTCGAATATGTTTAAATATATACATTAAACAGTGTTTCAAAGTGCTTTATATTTCCATCTTTACAATTTTTACGTTAACTTWTTGAAGAGCCACTTCGGTGCCACAAGCAACCGCACAAATTATTTAAAGTTTAGCCTATTTCGGTTAAAGTTGCAGCTGCACTTTGGGCCAACACCACGCAAACTCACCACAGCTGTGCAACTCCATAAAACAGTGCGAAAATGTATAACAATTATGAAATGATGGTGAAAATGAATGGATGTGTWATAAAATTGAAGAAGAACAAATTAAAACGCCACATAYGCGGCTGTCAGCGAATTTAAAACACAGTGCTGCTGCTTCGATAAATACCGATGCTCCGAGTTGCCGGCTTACGCCCTACTTCGTTGTGGYAACACCATTCGTTAGACTATTGGACGCATGTGGTTGCGTTGCCGCAGACGTTTGCTGCGTCTGCGAYTGCTGCTGTTGCATGCGCTGTTGCTGTTGTTGTTGTTGCTGCTGTTGCTTCGTTTTGTCGAATATTTGCAGCTTGGACTTGACAGCACCCTCGCATACCGTCAAACGCTGCTGCGCCGGCTTCTTATCCAATTCGAAGCAGAATGCCTCATAATCCGAACTTAAAGCCGCATGCCGTTTGAAGTCGGTGTAGCGACGCATATCGTACGTGGCCAAATTGCTGAGGCCATACGAGCTGGTAGCTGCCATGGCGGCAGCGGCAGCTGTGGATGTCGCGCTATTTGACGTACTTGTTGTGTGTGCGCTGCCGCTGGCGCTTGTGGAGCCGCTGCGCAGAAATGCGCCACGTCCGGGACCGGGTGCCATGTCATCAGGTACTTGTCGCTTGCGTTCGAAATATTCAACGATTGTGGCGATTTGTGCCGAACGCGTGCTCGGTATAGCCGTGAAGGAGCGGTCGTCCCACAACAACGAATCGGAGCCGGCCAAACTGCTRATGTCATCGGAACTGTCGGTGTAAATGGATGAGGTGCGATTCTTGCAGTAGAGCAGTTGATTAACGGCGAAATTGTTGCGTTGCAACACCGAATGTATGCCCGAGTCGAGCGCTAATCGATTCATTAGACCCATATCGATAGAGGTGGTCGAGGCTGCAGTGGCTGTGACATATGTGGTCGAGTTGTTGACGGCCGGGTCGGTGTCCTCATTGAAACACGAATAAAAACCGCTCTCAATGGAATCACGTCGCGTTAAAGTACCTTTATTCGGTAGCAAATCRCACGGTTTAATTTCATGTAGCTCAAAGTCGGGACACGACGAAACGGAAGCCGGTGTGGCTACCAACGAAGCCATTTGCGGTTGCGATGGTGGTGTAGGCGATGAAACCGCTAATGCCGTAATGTTGYTCGATATTTTTATTTTAGGCGGATCRGGCTCCTCACAACCATCCTCTGACGTGGAATACACAGTGCTGTTGCCGCAATCGACRGTTAAAGCCGGCGACGTAGGCGTGCATATAGTCGTCGCTGATGCTGTTGTTGGCGTCGCCAAGGCATTTGCAGCGCTTATACCGTCRTCGATGTTAACATTGCCATTCCCGCCGCTGCACATGAAAAGCGGATGTGTGTAAAGCGAATTGGCGCGGTACTTWCGTGCTGCTGGCGCTGATAGGTGCAGCGCGCGTGGCTCAGCAGAATCATCGCTACTAGATTCGGCATCGGCAGAGTTGCCGCCACCATCGCCATCGGGCTCACCGTCCGATGCACAGTCATCGCAGTCRTCATCATCTTCGACCACGGACGTGTCTGTGGCCGAGATGGGACCATGTGTCGTTGCTTTCAGTTCGCTAACGCTGAATTTTCGCGTCAATTGCGGTGATGAGGGTAAGCTCTTTGGTTCATTTGGCGTGGCAGGCAAACCACGACCAACGCCACCGGCGCTCAAGCGTGCGGCCACCGCACTGCCAACCTCGCTCGTTGTCACCGTTTTGTTTGTGCTTTTTGCCAACTCGGCTGCCAATTCTTTGAAGAACGGCGCGGACATTTCAAAACACGAACTGAACAGATCACCCACACCGGCGGCATAYGTTTTCGGATTGGCGCCGAGTATCTTCTTGACGCCACGCAACTGTGCCAGCGTAGTGAATGGATTACTCTTCACGCCATTGTGATCGGAACGGATGGGTTTGTAGTGTGGATCCTTCAAGCACATAGTTTCGGCGACTTTACGCAATGTCAGTGCGACTGTTTGCTGCGTCGGTGGTTTAATAGCAGGTGACGGCACTTGTGTGGCATCCACGGCGGTGACCGAAACATACGGCGGTTGTGTCGACTTCTCGCTGCCACCATTTATGCGCGACAATGCGGGCGGTGTTGGTGAATGTGTGGACGAGCGTTGGCGTTGCATTTGATGACAGCGCGCCTTGTCGCTCGGCGTCGTATGCAGCGGAAAATGTATGATGTTTTCGCTATACGAACGTCGATGCTGTTGTAACTGCAGATCGGCTTCCAGCTTTTTGGTCACWCGGCGTACGCGCGTCTCCAATACATGATCCTCGAATTCGTTGTATTCCGTCGACGAGCCATCCGGTGTTTGATATGGTGTGGTGCTGCCACCTGTACCGCTATTTTTACCGTTAGGAAAACGGAAACCGTTCTCATCTAGCTCCTTGTAATTCTGCGTCGAGGCAGTGCCGRCGGGAGCASTTTTTATGACCGGCGCTTTCAACGCAGTGGMGCTCTKGCGACAACTACAACAATTGACATTGTTGTGTAGTGTGCTGCTGGAGTAGCATTGTCGCAAGCAGTCRTTTTTGTGACTCGCCGTTGAGGTGTCGTGTGCGSCATCCGACRCTGCACCGTTAACTGAACTATTCAACTCTAGTGAATTTAATAGGCTCGATGTATTTAGCGACGAGTTGCAGTCACCATTATAGCCATTCTCATGATCCTGCATTATTTGCTTCAGTTTCTTGACAGCTTCGTGGAAAGTCGGACGACTTTTGGCTTCATACTGCGTGTRATAAAATGAGAAACAAAATTTAATATTATTTTACAAATAAAAAAAAAAACTTACGATACAACAGTAGAAAGCCAAGCGTAGAAATACAGCAGGTGTATCTATGGGACATAGCTCGGCGAAAGCCAAATAATCCAAGCCGAAGGCGTCAGTGCGCGGCATCACATCCGGATCGGCGACTATGCGTGCGATTATCTCGCATTGTATAATGCCAAAGGAGAAGACATCGCTTGTCTGATCATACCATTGACCCTTCAGGCACTCGGGGCTTACCCAATAAGGTGAGCCGACTGTGTCCAGGCGCGTTTTGCCGCTGTAAAAATGTTAGGGCTTGCCATATAAATATCTAAATATACACATAAATACAAGAGTGACTTACTGCTTATCTGGTATCTTAGCCGCCAAACCAAAATCGCCTACGACTGCATCAAATTGTCCATCGGGCATATTCCGTATTAACACATTCTAAAAATAAATTCAATTATGATTTTTTAGAATTTTCAAAAATATTTATAAAATTATGCTTTTAACTAACTTTGCTTGTTAAGTCACGATGGAAAATGCCCGCRTCGTGCACATACGCCATGCCGTTTGCAATGCCCAGCGCCAGTCTTAGTTTCATAGCAGCAGTCAGGATCGCTTCTTGGTTGGCCAATAGCTGCTCCAGCGAACCGCCTTCAATGTACTCAGTGAGCGCATGCAACTGACCTTCTTGCACACAGACACCCATAAAACTGCAAACACATACAAAAATAAAATGGAAATTTTGAAATCGTGTTTGATAAGAGAAAATTAAATTGTTGTATAGTAAATAAATAAAAAATATAATTTTGTTTTAGGATAAAAAAATATATATTGAAATATTGAAGGAAAATTATTAAATATCAAAAATGTAAATAATATTACAAAATTTATAATTATCGGGGCATAATTAACAGAGAAGAAAAATGGAGCCGCAGCTAAAAGCGTACACGAAGACGGTGGAGAGTCGATTCGGCGCCGTTTGCGGCAACTCGGACTTAAGAAAGTTACGATTTGACGCATTTTGCGTTGAGATCTTAAATTAAAAGCCTACAAAATTAGCTTAAGCAAGAACTGAAGCCGCTCGACCTTCTTCTTTCGACCCAAAAYGTGTTCAGCGATGAGGCSCACTTCTAGCTCAATGGRTATGTTAACAACCAAATTACCGCATTTGGGACGAAGAACATCCTGAAGATATTCAAGAGCTGCCATTTCATACAGAAAAAAGAATGGTTTGGTGTGGTTTGTGGGCCCGTGGTATTATTGGTCCACATTTCTTCAAAAATGTAGCCGGTGAGAACGTAACCGTCAATGGCGATCATATCGCGCCATGATAACCGACTATTTGATGCCTGAAATTGAAGTTCATGATCTTGGCGACATTTAGTTTCAACAAGACGGCGGCACTTCTCAGCACACATCGCATCAATCAATGGATTTATTGCGAGAACACTTCGGTGAGCAGWTGAYTTCACGTTTTGGGSCRSTYGATTGDYCACCAWGATCGTGTGATATCACATTGTTAAACTTTTTCCTGAGGGGACATGCAAAGTCTAAGTCTATGCGGTCAATCGAAATGCTTGAACGAGTCATTAAAAATTGAACTTAACGAATGGATCATTTGAGACGTAGTCGCAGTCAACATTTGAAAGAAATAATCTTCAAAATATAAATGCCAAATAATGTTTCGTTAAAAAAGTTGCGAACCTCGAAATGGATTACACTTTATAAGCTAGCAAAAACTTATCAGAAATTTGTTAATGATTTTCTGCCCAGACAACTTATTTTATTTATGCACAGCCAATAATGACAGTATACATATGTATGTACATATAATATATTACCATAAAGGACTACATTTAATTTAACGTTATATTATCGGGTTAGATTAGTATTAGAACAATTGATTAATGAATTTATTTTCTTCACAAGTCTGGTCAATAAGAGCGCCAATGATGCAATCTATAATAAGATAATGAAACCTTTTTCATGCGATTAGATTATGATAATCTATGAACTGATTAGTTATTCAAGATCAACTGAGGACTAGAACTTTGAACCAAGTAGTTATATTAGGAAAAACATAAAATAATGGAAATTTTACAGTTTAATTTACAGTTTGCTAATTTCTTTACTTATAGAGTATACCTAGTTGGTATTTTATTAATCTGACCGCATGTAAGCCTTGGAGTAATTTTGGGAGATATCATGTCTGGAGAAAATATTTTCATCCACACTCCTATTATTAGAGCTGGAGAAGGGACAGACTACAAAAGGTAGCTTCTTAAGACCGACCTTCAAGAATCTGCAACTGTGAGCGACTGAATTTGCATCGATCAGTTTGTTTGACAGCTCTATGCTAAAATGCTTTTGCAGAAAAAGACGTGTGGAAAATTTTAAGTCGATATCTCATTAATATTTTGATCAGTTCAAAAATGTGGAGTAATTACCACTTTATAAATTTTATATCTTAAGAATGCATCAGCAGGATTTTGAGTTCAACTCATTCACTCACTTAATCTTGATAAATATTACCTTTATGAATCGGTGTATTTTATTTGTACAAATCCAGCGCAATTTATGAGCATAAAAAATCAAGAGTAAATCACAAAAACTGTTTATCATTTAGACATTTTGCGAAGTAAGTAATGGAGAATACTTAAAAAATTAATTGTGCAATCCGTAGGCAATTGAAAATGAAATAAAAGTAGCAATTAATATGTGAGCATTGGCCCGAGGTGTAACGAAGTCAATCGCATTGGACAATGAACCTGACGCTGGCGTTGCAAGCACATAAAACAAACTGCGAAAAATTAAATATGATTTTTTTAAGAAAAATACAATAAATATTTTTTTCGAAAAAGCAACAATTTTTTTTTGGAAAAATTTAATTTTTTTTTTCAAAATATGCAATAAAGTTTTTT